GGAACCAGCCCCGGACGTCGCCCGCTAACTTTGAGCTCCAGCCCCTGGCGGCCCGGAGAGAACTAATGGAGAAAGGCCGAGGCAGGGCGACCGCGAGCCGAGCGAACGGGCTAGAATTCCCGCCCCCCCCCCCAGCTCAGGCTTCCCCCAGGTTTGTTTGAAAGTGGCGAGGAGCAGCGATCGCCCCTCTCTCTCTCTCCTCGGACTATTGTTGCATTTCGCGTCTAACTGGGTTCTCTCACACCCCCGAGCGCCAAGAGGAGGAGGGGGAGTGGGGTTGGGAAAAGAAATAAAGCGAGCTCAGATCAGATGGAAAAAAAAAAAAAAACAGCAAGGAAAAAGAGACACTTAAAGGGAAAGAGTCGCCATGTTTAGCAGCTTTTTTAAAGATCTCGTCAATTTCACACAGAACGCAGTCCCTGGGTCCCAGCCCTCGTCTTTTGTCCAATTCAGTCGCAGCAAAGATCTTTTGTTCTAACTCAGCGTGAAAAGAAAAACTTTCTTTAAATGCAATAAACTTAAACCAAACTCAAGACTCTAAACAGATCCTCCTCCGGCCACTCTAAACATATACAAGGGATTTTGTTTTAACCGTTTGAAAAATTTGGGGTCCTGTTTTTTCTGCCTCGCAGACCCCAAGCTCATTGCTGAAACTTAGAGAGAGAGAGAGATTTCCAACGTCTAGAACACATGCTTAAAGCATAATAAAACAGGGACTGTCTTTTGCTTTGAAAATCATAAATTATAATTTAATGCCAATAATAATTTACAACAAATGGCTGTTTACAATAAACTAACACAAAACAAACAAGGAAAAGGGCCTGTGTTTTACTTATTAGAGAAACTTCACACACTCACATAGATAGCACTTGCAAGAGGAGAAAATAAACCTACAAAACCTCGATCTAGAGGTCAGCGATGTTCTGTCATAAGAACACACTTATATGTATGTATGTATCTACAGAAAGAAGCTGAGGGTCAGATGGAGAACTCTGCTCAAATGCACAAATCAGACAGATTTTTCTGGTCTACATGTATTGACTGGAACTGAGTATCAAAGTTTAATACACTTTACAAAACAATCCCTTTTCTTTCCCATCCCCTTACCCACCCCCTTTTAAGATTAAACCACAACATAGTGATGCATGGTGGGGGGGGGTGCTGGAAAGCCTCAATCAGAACAAAAATTGCAAGCTCCCACACACTGAGCTTCCTCCAAACCAGGAAAAGAGAAAGAGGAAAAAAAAAAGATTCCAAAACAAAATAGTGACTACTTCCAAATCCGCACACCCTATAAAGTTTCCTTCTTTCTTTCTTTCTCTTCTTTTTCTTAATTTGGCTTTTAAGGACAAAGGATCCCAAGAGCGGTACAGATTGCATCTACACATCTGAAATGTCAAAATGTCGATGTGTTTTTATGTACATAACTCCAATGGAAAAGATTCCCTTGACCTGTGGTCATGCTTTCACAGAATGAACGTATGGGGGGGGGAGGGGGGAGGCAGGCCAACTGCAAGTTATCATATATACATTAAAAATAAACCCTTCAGCCACTCTAAGCTATATCACTGAATTTTAAATCCTCTCAACAACCACTCTAGATGAGAACCACAGAATATTTTTAAAAATCACACCTACTCAAGGAAGAACTCCTTGCAAACAACTGCCTTCTATTTACAAGGCTGTGATTAGCTTGCTTGAAAGGTCTTCTGCATAACTGTCAGAAACGTACAAAACAGTATTTTTTCCTGATCATAAAATAGATACTGATCTCAAGATTTCTAATACTTTTCACAATACCTTCCCTAAGCAGGCACTTAAGTGTGACAAATATAAGGGCCTTTTTTTTCCTGGAAAATCCATTTTTAATTAAAAGAAGGATTAGGTGAATGGGGGTGGTTTACTATATCAGTATGGCACTTCCTAAACCATAGACAAACCATTAACTTCAGCTCCCCCCACACACACACCCAAATTAAACAGGCAAATACACTAGTCTACCTTTGAACAAACTGGCTGAGGGGAGCAAACAAATTCAACCCCCCGGCCCAGCTCAGCGAGAGCTCACAGGGGCTTCTCCATGGAAAGACAGTGGGGACAGCCAAACAGGTTTCAGATATCAAATAATATTTTAATTTCTGAATACTTTCAATTTTCCTTGGAATATAACACACAAAGACTCGACCAAACAGTTCAGTTATTATAACTTTTACAGTATACAGAAATGTTGCACTTAAAAAAAAAAACCTTCAGTTTTTTTTTAAACACAAACTGTAAACTCTAAGATACTGAATCAATCACGTTACCTATAAGTGCCAACAGTGTTATTTTGTCATGCTGATTTCAATGGTATTTTTTAAAAAGGGAAAATATCAACAATTATAATACAAAGGGCTTGCAAATATACAAACAGATATAGGATTTTCATAACAATTCAAGAACTAAGCGGGACCCAATTCAAATTACAAAAGTTCACTTTTTATTCAAAACCTCAGCATGTGTCTTGGACACATTCCTTGGCTGCCAATAAATTCCACAGTTCATTCTCTTTCTTAAAATATTTTTAAAAAGCTAGGTTTGTCATGGTGTCTTTTCTGGGGGGGAGGGGGCAGGGGAGGGGAAGTTAAGTGTTGTATGTGGTTCCTCCAGTTCTCAAATTAAGAGTGCTCAACTTCACCTAAAATTTTTGGTCACCACTTGTAAGTGCGTTTCCATCATCTTTGAGTTGCCTTTTAAAGTTTTATGTCTTCCTATGATATTTTCATGGACTCAGTTTTAATTCTTGCAGAACATATATTTTAAGGATACACAGTTTTTAAGAAGCCAAGATTATATCAAAACTTATTATAGAACCACAGAATAAACTGGTTTGGAACCAGAAAAGTACAAAAAAGAACAGCTAGAGGTACATAGACACAGGACAATTAATAATTTGGAAAAAAAAAAAGACTTACTTTCTCCATTCTGCTAATTTTCTCCCAATCTCCTTAAATGCACTTTAGCAATATTTTTCAAAAATTTACCAAAAAAAAAAAGAAAAAGACTAATTTCCTTTTTATACAAAAATGATAAGGAGCAAGTTATTCTGACCGACACAGGAGTTTTTCTTTTTTAATGCATTCTGTAAAAGTTCATTTGACAGTCTTTTTTTTTTTTGGAAATTCACAGTCCATTAAATTCTTCCCCTCTCTTCTTTTAGCAAACTTGTAACATCCTTTTATATCCTTTCTTAACAGAAGGAATTTAAGCAAACAAACCAGTCTTTTGCCTTTTCTTTCTCTCTGTTTCACTCCCCCTTCTTATTTTGATTTATTTATTTATTGAATCGCCATATACGGCCAGTTAAAACTGCTGCCGGACAGTAACATATCCCGGATGAGGGTTTCGATGGGGGTTTTACCTACCAAACGGACGAAAAACAATTGCTCTATGACTGAGGAAGAGACGGTGCGGAGGGAAGGGAGGCGAAGCAAAAGCTTTCCGAATCGCGTTGGTTGGTTGGGGTACTGGCTCCTAACGTATTCTTCCAAAGCACACTGGGACTTTTCCTGCAAGCTTTCCACATGGGCTACATCAGAGAGACCACAGGCATCTGGAAGAAAGTTTAAAAAAAAAAAAAAGAAGAAGAAGAAGGACAAGGAGAAGGAGAAGGAGAAGAAGAAGAATTCAGTCATCAGATTAAGAGGTCTGAAATGGGTCACATGAGGTGTGTGTACAGTGCTCTGTCAAACTGCCCCGACCGGAGTCAGAGCAAATGCCTACATACTGAAAACTTGTGGGGGGGTGGGGGGGGGAGGAGCAGCAGAGTGCAAGAGATGATCCTGGGGCATTTGCTTTGAAATAAAACACAGCTCCACGCATTGCAGGCTTTCCCTGTCCCAGTCCTCAGGCTGGGTCACTGAGAAGGCCCAAGCAAAGTGCACTGGGTGAATCTGGCTCAAGTCAGTAAACAGACAGACAGACAGATGATACCAAAACTGCCAGTGCTCCGCCCCCTCCTCCTCTGTAAATAATAGTTTGGCTTATAATTATATAGTTGGGGGGGGCAACAACCTGGCCCAGCCCTGAGTAATGGCGCCCACGACCCAGCCTCAGATTCTCCCCAAAGAGGGCGACTCATTTTTCTCCAGTCTTTGAAACTGATTTAAGTGGCCCTTTAAAACTGATCTTGTCAGTTTAGCCTATTGAAGGGCAGCCATGCAAACTGTGATCTCTCTGTTCATTTGAGCTGTTTCTTTTCCCTCCTTTTCTTCTCTCTCCCTTTTTCTCCTACCCTCCCCACTTCATTTTTTTTTAAACCCAAGTCCCTCCAAGAAGAAACCCCCTCCCCGTTATCTTCAGGAAAACACTTTTCTTTTTCGGATACGTGAAAATACAATAAGTGCCTTTGAAATGAGAGGCTTCTCAGTGAAGGCGGTGCAGGTTGTGACCTGACCTTTTGGGGCTCCCCAGGCAAGACTGGGGCTAACACATGCATATTGTGAATCCTTAGAACAGATATTCAAAAACAGCCGACACCAAGTCCACCCCAAGAACCAGAAAACACAAGCAATCTCTTCATGTATGGATCTAGCACTATGCATGCATGTCTACAGACTGCATAGGTGTCTGTGATCAGGAATTAAAAGATCTGTTTGCATAGAATTCCTTCCCTCTACATCCTGCAGTCTCCCTCAGACTCAGATAACAGGAACCTTTATCTCTTTGTGAGGCAATTTGCATTTTCCACACAGGCCTCTACATTTTGCAAATTGTAAGAAACTAAACTATTAACGACAGTAGCAGGTATTTCTTTCCTTGAAAGACCAAGGGTAAGTCTAAGAGCTAACAATGATATCAAGAAATGAACTGCCACCCTGATGGTCTGGGAACGTGGGCTGGGTGCCGGCTCATGGGACGAGGGCAAGGGAAGAATATGCTTGTAGGTTTGCATCAGGCAAATGTTCTAGTTATGACAGGTCCCCTGAAAAGAACAATCCAGACCCAAGCCTCTGCATACAGCCCTTCCTTGCCCAGACACTGCCCTTTAATTGATTACCTTTGATTACTTTCAAAGGCAGATTTTGGGGTGGGGGGAGATTTTATGTGAAAAGCAACAATGTATGAAAGACAGTGGCTTAAGGATTTAGAACCCACAATAGATTCAGCTAAAGACTTGGGTCCCCAGATTTCCTTTCAACAATAAGGAAGAGATTGTGGATCTTTTTTGTCTGCCACCTGAACGACACTGCTCTCCTAGTGTGTCCTGATTACAGGCTGCAAAAACTGTGGTGGGTGACTCGGTTCCAAGTCCCACTAAGGTCCAAATGCATGTTATCCTGAAATGGGAACCCCTTCCCCTCTCAACCATGACAAAGGGATCAGCTGACAACTTAGAACAAGAATGTGGAAGGGGTGATTTCCACCCACCTGAGCTCTGCTGAACTCAGCCTGGAGGCAGCCAAAAGGCTCAGGTGTGGCCCAAAGTGGGAAGCCAGACACCTTCAAATATCATTTGGCCTCAAGAGTTAACTAATATTAGATCTATTAGTCACACGGGTTAAACTACCTGCAAACTAATTAGATTTCATAATTGCAGGCAATGATGGTTTTGTATCTCCAGCAACACTCCTATCCTGCCCAAGTTGGCAGACACTTTGGGTTGTCTGAAAATTGCCTTAAGTGTTTGCCTGGGCAGGGGAAGTGAGAGGCTGGAGTCTTCAAACCCCTGCAGACATTCTGAAGAGTTGGGCTGGCCCCTTTCTTCCTCTTGCCCCTTCCTGACAGCCCTTTCCCCTCTCCTGGCAGTCTACACTGTTTTCATGAAAATATGATTTTGAAAATTGCTGCCCTCAGGCTGGGTTTGCCTGGAGCTCCAACTCCTACTGAGTTAGCAGGCTAACTTCCTCCCCACCCCTCCCCGCAGGGGCCAACTTTCCCCTGCAGGGATGATACCAGGATGTTCCTGGGCCTAGGGGCATCTCCCAGAGGCTCAGCCAGGGTGACAGAGAAAGCCATGGGGCAGAGGAGATTCCACACGCTCAGCTGGCCCCACAGGCCTGGGCTAGGGCAAGGAGCAGGAACATGCCTCTGAGTCTGGCAGGAGGGGAGCAGGCCTGAGGCTTTTCCATGGCCCATTCTGAGAGTCTGTGTCCCAAGCATCCTTCCTGTAGCCCAGCCTTCCTCTTCTCTCCCCAGAACAGGCCTGGTGGGGCCCAGCAGCTCTGCAAAGTTCCCATTCCAAGTTGGCACTCAACAGTTTGGCTTTTTAAGGGGGAGGCTGGGCTCGCTCAGGGGGCTCCCAAGACCTTAGGCCCTAACTCTGAGCAAGGAGCGCTTGGGCATGAGAGGGCAGGGCTTCATCCTACCTGAGGTGAACAGGACTATGGCCTTCAGGCAGCTGTACTCGGCGGAGTCGACGTGCAGCGCTTTGAGCTTCTCCACTTGCTCTTGGAAGATCCGTATGTGGTCCATAAAGGCGACCACCCGGTCGGCGGACATGGGCGAGGCGTGGAGGCCGGCGGCGGCCAGGAGCGGGGCAACGTGGAGGGGCATGGAGCACTGTGCCGCATTCAGGACGAACAGCTCGCTCCAGGTGAGGCGAAGCAGGGCCACCTGGTCGGTGATCTGCAGGTCAGGGAAGAAGGGGATGTTCCGGGCCCACTCGACGGCACTGAAGAGCATCCGGGCGGCCAGTTCGCAAATGTTCTCGATGCCCATGATGTTGTTGGGCTGCATGCACTGGCTGCCGAAGCGCGACGTGGGATAGGGCTCGGCGCGCAGCAGCAGAGAAATATATCCGGACAGGTACGAATGGCAGTTGAGGGGATCCCCGTTGGTCAGCGCAAACTGCCCGTGTGTCGGCTGGGTGGGCGGCATCCTGCCCCTCTGCACGGCTGCGGGGAGGAAAGGAGACACTTCTCAGTTAATGACCAGTCTGGGTCCCCTGCTCCAGGCAGGGTCTGCCCCAGCCCGACCCCCACCTGACCCAGACCCTGGCGCCGCGCAGGAACAGGCAGGCCTGCCCCCCTCACCAGCGCGCCAGGGCCACAGACCTGGGAGTCGCCAGGAGCCCGGCAGTACTGCTCTCAAATCGCCACCCAGCCAAGCCCTGGCAGCCAGGGCAGCACACTTGCCTCGGAGGCCCGCTCCGGGCTGGGCGGCTGAGGACCCAGAATTGGCCACTTTGCCTCGGGGTCCCCAGCACGGTGGGCGGGATGGAGCATTCTGGGGACATCTTTCTTCTTTGCTGCTAAACAGCTGATATTTTTTTATTGATTGGAGGAGAGGGAGCGGGAGGGGCGAGGCTGGGGGAGGGTGAGACGCTTTTGCAAAAGACACAAGGGTTCACCCCGGACGGCCTGTGGCCACCCCGGAACGGGTTTCCCCCAAACCCGAAGCCCAGCCC